CCTATACCAATGTACCACTTCATGTTCAGGTTCTATGCCTTTTTACTGATATGCAAGCACAACATGTTGACATGGTATGCCCCTCAATTGCCATGTTCTACATGTACATGTCTTCTTCCTATATCAACAATATGTCTGTATTGACCATCTAAGATTTCATACCCAATATCACCATTGAATCTAGCTTCACAAAATCTAGCAAGATCTTTGTTCTCTTGAAGTACTAGTCTAGCCATAGGAGAGATATTTGAGATCCAAGTTTCAGCAGATTGCCTCATTGCAATATTTCTGTCCATTATCTTGTGCCTAATCTCCTCTAACATAGTTATGATAGCCTTATGTCTAGCAACTAGTATCTAAGAATTTAAAGTTTCACACGTATTGTTTTCAACAATGTCACACTTAGAATGTTCTTTAAAATATGCTTTGCACCAAGTAATTTTTTCATAATGCAACAAGTCCTCACATATTTTATTACCTAAATTGTTGAGTTTATCCATCTCATCTTCAAATTTCACTTTAAAACTTGACTTAGCACATCTCCAGAACTGTTTCCTTCTTTCTTCATCACTCCATAATTGATGCAAGTTGGACTAGATATGTCTAGCACACCTTCTCTGCTCACTATCTGGTAGCAACTCACATAAAGCTGGTACAAGGCCCTATGTAACCAGTTGTAGAACAAACATTAAAAAGTATTAGCAACACAAGAAAAAAATAAAAAGAACAAGATACAATACAAAAACCATCTAACCTTCTGCATATCTGACATAACAGTCAGTCCATGTCTTGTGTCTAAGTTCGGATCTTCTATCAAGTACTTGAGAAAAAAACTCCAACTATGTTTTGTCTCTGTGTCAACAACAGCCCATGCGAATGGAAACATCTGTTGATTTTCATTTCTACCAACAGCAACCAACAATTCTCCCTTGCAAGAACCCTTCAGAAAACATCCATCAAAATCAATAATTTTTCTGCATCCTTCTAACCAACCCCTCTTCAATGCATCAAAGCAAACATAGAAGTAAACAAACAGAGTTTTTCCTAGATGAGACTCTCTATCTGTCCTCACCCAACAGGAAGTACTAGGATTAGTATGTTTAATCATATCTGCATAATCACACAATCTTGAAAATTCCATCTTCCAATCACCTAAGAACTCCTTGATAATCCTCTTTTTTGCCCTATGACAAACAGTTCTTCCAACATACAACCCAAATTTTTTCTCACCAATTCCTGAATTTCCCATAATCTTATATATGGTTGACATGTAATTTCGTCCTTGAACTTTTCTGCAACAAACTTAGATGTACATAACTTGTTCTTGGTTGATTGAGGACATACATTCACAGGATAATAATTTTTGGCAACAAAATCACCAGAATCTTTATCTATACTAGCAAACAGCAACCATTTGCATTTCTTGTCCTCACATTTAACTCTAACTCTTTTTTTGTCATTAGGCTTCAATTTTAACCTAGTTTTATATTTACAAGAATAGTCTGCAACAGCTTTTCTAAATTGTTCAGCACTTTCAAATATCATACCAAGCTCAAAAATTGCTACAACACAATCAGGATCAAATCTTACCTTTTTACTTTTTCTTCTTCTTGGTAAATCAACACCCTTCACAAATTCTGAATCCAATTCATCCTATTGTCTTCACTGTCCAATTCTGATCTATCTATATATTTCTCATCACCCCTAGTCTTCCAGTGTATCTAGCAGCCTTATTCCTTCCTATGTCTTCAAAGTCTCTATCAATACCAGCTGTTCCAAGCTTTATTTCCTCAGTTTGAGTAGGTTTTTCTTTTTCGCTTTGTTTCTCCTTTCATTTCTAAGAGATCTTAATTCTTTATCAAACTCAGAGTCATCCACATTAGGAATAGCATCCTCTTGAGAGTCATCACTACTTTATTCATTTGATTCGATTCATTTTACATCTAGATCTGATATATCCCCTGGCTCAACTTCTCACATTAACATTTTCAGATTCAACCTTTCATTTGCAGTCACATTTATATCTTCTAAGTCTTCTTCAATGACAGACCCACAAAGCAAACCCGCTGTGACCACTTCTACATCATCTACCACATGTTTTACATAAAGGTTTAAAAAGTCACCATCTTTTAGGTCTTTGATGAGATTTACTAAAGTGAAATTAGTGTCCACCTCAATAAAGCCATTTTTTGTTGGGTCTTTAACACAGAACCCACCAACAATAATATACCCTAATTGTGTAGTGTAAAAAAGTAACTCGATTATTGAGAAGTGGTCCTTGTCGATATTAACATATTCCACCTTGACTTCCCCTTTAAAAGTAATTTCAGTTTTGTCCTGCATAAACTTACCACCATGATTAAAACGAGTTACAATAATGGCGTCCATAAGATTCCTTGAAATAAGGCCCCAAAATTTTTTTGACACGTTATGAACAATAAAAATAAAAAAACCCTAACTTTATCCAAATATTAACAACAACAACCACATTGATGCTAAAACCCAGTATATATCAATAAAAAACACAGGTTAAACACATATATTAAAAACACACAACCGCTACAACAATAAAATTACATAGAAATTAGGGAATGAACTTACCTCGCACTCGTCAACTCGAAAATCGTGAATGAACTCCAAAATCATCTGCAATCTTCGATGATTCCTTCAACAAAACACTCAAAATCACTTTAAAATCTAATAATTTCAGCTGTAAAAGTCATTAGATGGGAGAGATTCTTAGGTTTTTCTCGTTTAGAAACGGGTTAGAAGTGTTTTGGGGGGAAATTGGTTTTTAGGTTTGATGATTTAATAAGTGGCACTGACGTGTAATTGGGTTGGAGTGTATTGGTCAAAATTTCTATGTGGGGAAGGTTCATCTAACACGCCCAATTACCAAAAATAATTTATTGAAATTTCGCTCCACATCAGCCATGAATATTTAAAACGAAAAAAGGCTTAAAATACCCTCGAAGTATTGAAAATGGTACACAATTACCCCCCTTCCACCTATTGGCCCCCAAATACCCTTCAGATCCACCTTTGGGTTCAAATTTACCCCTTCATTAATGGACCAAAATTAAAAATAATTAAATAATAATTTTTAATTACGTGGCACTCAACCATTGGTTGTAATTTAATTATTTAAAATAATTTTAAACCCATCCATTACCTATCCATTTTAACTAAACCCGCCCCACTTGAATAAGTGGCACTGACGTGTAATATTTCCTCCAAGTAACCCAGATTCCTATTGAATATTTTAACCCCCTATAATTTGATCTTTTTAAATACGGAAAAGGGTTTAAAATACCCTCGAAGTATTGAAAATGGTACACAATTTGGTCCGTTACAATCATTTGTGTTTATGAATATTTTCTTCGTTTTTCATATAGTAGACGAAGCAGTTGGAATGATAATACGAAATGAACATGAGTTCATATACATCACAAAATATGAAAAAATTCCAACACTAAATTCAAGTAACATTAATAAAAACATCCACTTAAAGAATCAAATAGATAAAAGTTACTATTGCAATAGTAGTACAATCTTTACTTGTTAAGTATAGATTTGTATACGATGTACATGACTTCCAAAATAATTAATTCTTATCATCCACAGACCACACTTATTGGTTAAGCTTGTTTTTTCTCCATCAATTATGAAAAATAAGAAACCATTTGGCATTCAATATTTTTTCTTGTATCATAAAATTCTTGTCTTGAATCATAAGTCCAAGAAACAAGTCAGAAATGTTATTAATATTGTAGTTGCGCTAAGTTAAATTTTTGAAATTAGAATAAATTGGCTTAACAAAAAGACTCATTAAGCAACTCCAATCCAATCCAATACGGCAATCAAATAATTTACAGAAGGTGGATGCCTTTGGCAATTTTAGTAAACCACCCGAATGAAACACTTCATCGGCTATCAGCATCTTATATGCATTAAAGAAAAGATCCCAAGTTTTGAATTATGCATGAGCAAAATAGATGATAAGAATCCATAAATGTTGTGTTTCTTTTTTATTTTTAAAATTTGTTAATTTTTTTACATGGAACATCGAGCTTAGATGGAAGTTGGATCTGCCCAATAAAAAGAAAAATTCAAAATAGTACATGCATTGTTATATGCAGGTTCATTAATTACCCTTAGATCAGCCCAAAGCAATCTCGATTGGAAATAAAAAGCCTTCCTTCACTTGTTAATACCCAGTCAAATTGAGCCAAAATTATGAGGGCTTTAGAGCCTGTTTGAATGGGCTTAAAAGTTGGTTAAATTGACTTAAAAATTAGTTTTGATTTGTTAGAGTATTTGACAGTTATTACAGTGACTTATTTTAAGTTAAAAATGACTTATTTTAAGTCAAAAGTTAAAAGCAATGTGAGGAATGCTCTTTTTTTTTTTAACTTAAACGTTATTTTATGTTGATCAACCATATTTCATTTTTTCCCCTAAATTTTTTTATTATATTATTATTAACATTAATATTATTAATATTAATATTATTATTGTTATTATTATTATTGTTGTTGTTGTTATTATTATTATAATAAAAAAAATTGTGATGATAAAGAAATAGGTGAATGATATGAAATATTATTACTTATGAATGTAAAATATAAATTAATTTTGCTTTAATTTAAGTATAAAAATCTTAAATTAATCAATTTTTTATCATGTTAACAGTTTTAAGTGTATTTTAGACATTTTGATTAAAAAAATGTTTATCAGCACTTATTTATCAAACACATCAACAACTTTTCAACTGAAGCATTTTTATTCAAACACATAACTACTTATTTTTAAAATAAGTTTTTTTTAAGCCCCATCCAAACGGGCTCTTATGGTACAAACTTTTCAAATATGGTATAACTTGAAATGCCACTTCTTAAAGTGTATCAGTACACTGAAGGAGAGAGAGTGATGTATAATATTTGGGAAATACACATGATCTAAAGACTCGTGTCTTCATCTCCATTAGATAAAAGTCCAAATAAACAGTACAATTCACATAACATTTTGTATTCGAATGTCTACGTGTAAGTAGAAACAAGAAAAAGAAGGCTAAAAATAAAGATGCTTCTAAGAAATATCATATCCGTCCATAAGTTAAGATTACCTATAAAAGGAATGACTTCCTATAGCTTCCATCATCCACACATAATATTCATTTTCAACCCATAAACAGCAACATGCGAAAAAGCTATTACAAACTGAAATTCCAAATCAGGCTTAATGCCTTCAGAAAATTTGGTACTACCGAAATACAGAGACTACAGAATGAATAAGGCGATACAATACACATTGCTTACAGCATGGGCATGATCATAGTAACCATACACTTTAGGATGGGCAACGTTAACATCTTGATATATATATACTTCTTCCTTGTATTGGCTGAAGCTCAAATTTGTCCTGGAAGCTGGATCTCAAGGCATAGCTGATCTCTTCTAATAGCTTTGCAAGGAATGCCCAGAAAGAATGTCTATGTAGGTTGAAGATAACTCTTTTGAGTATTCATCAAATTCTTGATATTGGACATTTCAAGTAAACAGAGACTGGTTAACTCGGGCATCCTTTACTATTTCAAGATCCTTTATAAATGTCCTGAGGCAGCCATTTACAATGCGGGGTGCTGACCCATCACAGAATCGTTTTGCAAGGTCAACAGCCTTCAAGAATGGGAGAACAATGTTTTTTATTTGAGTTTCACAGCTCAGTAAGTACTCAATAAACAAAAGTGTCAAGTGATGAGAAGATTTTACAAGGGAAAGTTGATTTAAGGCGGGTTATTACGGTTCACATACTTTCAGTTCGAACTACGTATATTATATGCATTAAAAATGATCCAGATAATAAGGTCATACTATTCTGCCCTTACTGTAAAATTGTGGATCAGCTCACTGATGAAAAGACTTCTTTTAATAACCGAGAGAAGTCTCCGAGGGCCAATGTCGCACAATTCCAAACTAGGTGGATGATAGGCCAGCCGTACTACCCTACCCCACTTAAATATCATGCTTTTATCTGAGCAGGGTTCAAAGCAGTAACATGCACCTAACCTACATATCGCAAACTGCTGTTACCACTAGACCAAAACCCGGAAAGCTTGTCGATAGACTATTGTTGTGTGCAAGGTTTCATGCCATCTCTATAGAGAACTCAAAAATAGAATTTGGAGTCGTCTCAAATCCTAAGTGGAATCATTATGAAACATTCACCTCATTCATAATATATTACAGTTTCAAGCAAGTTCATGCAATATACCGAGAAAAAGAGAGAATTTTAAGTCATCTCAAATAAATGCGAGGCATCATTATGAAACCATTCACATCTTTAACTAAGCCACTGTTCCTGTCTTTTGAGTAACTTTGTTTTTTCTACTTTCACACTAATCAACCTCAATGGAAAAGCTCTTCTAAGTTGATCAATAGAAAATAAAGAAAGGAAGCAAGAAGAAATACTTTGCCTCGCAGGTTTTCATGCATGGAGAATAGGGAGGTTAAGTAGTCCAGTTATTCAAGAGTTGTCCAAATTAGAGAGAGAAAATACCTCATTGACGACTATCTGGTGCCGTGTTCCTAATACTGATATTTCAGACATTGCTAAATGAAGAATTGAAAGCTCCAGGATCCTGCCTGCTGGCTCATTCTGGAAGATAAATTTATGGCATTGATCCCAGACATATTAACAAATTATGTCTTCTAAGATACCAAAGAAAAAATACTAGCTTGAAAGAGGTAATATTGATAATTGGAGGGAACAAAAATTATTGTTAGACCTGTTGTTACTAGAATCTATAACCACAGGAAGGGTAAAAATAAGGCTTAAACGTAACTGTTTTATTTATTAATTATTGTGAATGTATTTCTAGCAGTTATCTAGCAGTTTAGCTGTATAGGAAGTTATTTTGTGATATTGTACTAGGCCGACCAACAGTTTTTTATACAGGATTTTCTCTGGCAGATTTAGAGGTTAAATGTTCCTCGAAATACCTTGGTTGTTAGAAGTATACTCTATTTGTTATTTGTAAAACTTACTCTATTTGTTAGTTGGTGGCAGTAAATAAAAGTTGCAGTGTTATTCCTATTTCTATGTTGTGCTTTGAAGTTTACAGATCTATTGTTAGGAGAGTTTCTCAGTTCCTAACAAGGATATTGCTAAATTCTATTGTTTTGCAAATTTGTTATTTGTAGGGACGTGTGTGTATTGGATACAGATCAAGTCAACTGAAAGATTAAACATTCCTAGCTTTTACAAATTAATGAAGTGAAGATCAATTGACATATATAAATTGCAAATTGTTCTCTCTCACTTGAATTTTAACAAATCATATCCGTTGCTAGAATTAGTACAATTCCTCCTGTCCCCGCACCCAACAATCACGCAACAGCATAAATCATATACGCCTCGAGACTTAAAACAGCTGATACAATAAGAGCAATAACTTATCCAAAAAACACTAAATGACGAAGTGGATTAAATTTATAACATTATCTAAGAGAATCTGTACAGGCAAACGGGTTTGGCTCTTGAACTATACTTAATCTACAGCTCACTTAACATTGAATTCATGCAATACTAAAAAGTCGGTTCTATCCACTAAGTTGACCAAATTGAAAGAAATTTAACATCCTCTTTGGTTTTCACTTCTTTTCTTTCATTGCCTCCTCCCGCTAGATCCTAAAACCACTCTCTCACACTCTGTAAACCTGGGTCAGTGTGTAGATAGTTTGAAAGTGCATAGCAAGATTGTAGAGGAAGGGGAGTCGCACAGCTTCACTTAAGTTTGTAGGGCTAACTTGGCAGAGGGACTAGACAGGCTGGTTACAGAAAACTTTGGAGACTAGGAGTGTGTTTGGTATTAAGGAAAACATTTTCTGGAAATTGTTTTCCAATTTTCTCATGTTTGGTTGGAACAAAAATTTTGGAAAATGTTTTCCAAATCAACTCATTTTCCTTAAAATTAAGGAAAATGACTTCCCTTCAAAAATTAAGGAAAACATTTTCCAAAACTCTCCTCCAATTTTAAATTACATTTTTTGGGGGAAAAACAATAAATTTTATTTAAAAAAAATCAATTTTATTTTATTTTACTCGATTCCTGACCCCCACCAACCCACCACCGGCCAGCCCCCCCCCCTTCCCCATAAAAATAATTTTGCTTTTTAAGAATATTTTTAACTTCAAATTTTCATATTGAAACTCCTACCTCCCTCCCCCCGGCCAGCCCCCACCCACCCCCAACCCCCAAAAGAATTAATTTTGTTTTTTAAAAATAATATAAAGTTCAAATTTTTATTTTTTCACTCCTACCCCTCCCCCACCCCCACCACAATCCCAAATAGAAATTGTTTTTAAAAAATATTTTCGATTTCATAAATTATTTTCTACTGTAGTAAAAATAAAAGATGTCTCATTCATAAATCAAACACTAAAAATCATTTCCGAAAAATATTTTCTACTCACCAACCAAACATGAAAAAATAAGTTCAAAATCTGTTTGTTTTCCATGGAAAATATTTTCCAAAGAAAACTTTTTCTAGGAAAACAAGTGGTTTCTTACTTATTTTCTTGTGTTTGATATGCAAGTAATAAATATTATCCTAGAAATATTTGTATGTATCGAAGACAAAATTATGACGATGGGGGTAGCGCCGGGGGAGTTGGTGGGGTGGAGGTCAGGAGGGTAGGTGGTGGGGGCTGCGATGGAGGGGTTGTGAGGGTGAGGAAATGCGACTTGTTTTCCCTCATATGGAACTCGTTTTACTTATTTTCAAGCAGCTTATTTTTCTAAAGAAAATATTTTCCAAAATTTTCAACCACTGAACACAAGAATATAGGAAAATTTATTTCTCCATACCGAACACACCCTAGATTGACTAAAAAGAGATGAGGGTTTGATATACCCTCAACTTTGTCATTTAGAGCCGATATACGCATCGTTACAAAAGTGGCTAACATATACCCCTACCATTACAAAAGTGGCTCACATACACCGTTACCATTACAAAAGTGGCTCACATATACCCCTACCGTTACAAAAGTGATATAATTAGTTTTAAATTTTTATTTTTTTTAATTTAACCATATATTTGATCTTTCCCACACATACATTATTTTTTACTTCTTTGATTGTTATTATTTGAGTTTCTTATTCTTATTTCATTTTTATTCTTTCACTCTTTATTGAAAAAACAAGAGAAATTTATAAAAAAATGTGTTAATGGGAAAAGAAAAAATATTAAACTACTTTTTTGCTACAATATTGTAATTTAGTTTTTATATCTATATATAAAATAAAAAATTGGGTATCAATAATAAACTTTACAAGAAAATAAGTGAAAAATAAACTTGACCATTAAAATAATAAATTCAAATTAACCATTGGATTAAAAAAGTCAAAAAAAAATAAATAACGTGACAATGACAAATATACGCCTACATGGATTTTCTTTTTAATAAAAAAAAAAATTTCAAATTAATTTTTCCTGTGAGCCATTTGTGTATCAGTTGGGTATATATGTCACTTTTATAACAGGAGGTATATCAGCTCTAAATGACAAAGTTAAGGGGTATATTCAGGCCCTTATCCCTTATTCCTTTTTAAAAGAAGGGCAAGAGCTAACCTTTTCTTTTGATAACTAAAAAAATCCCTAGGCCCATTGGCACATGGTTTGAAACTCGGTGGATAATGAGCCCACCCCTCCACCCTTCTCGCACTTAAATAGCAAGATTTTGTTTGTGGCAGAGTTTGAACACATGGGTGCCCACCAAACCAACATACCACATGTTGCAAGAGCCAATCTATTTTCCCAGTCATTTTTAGTCCATAGTTGCTTTACAAATATAAAATCTCCCAAACTTGAACATTTTCCTAAACCCAAGCTTGTCTACATCTGTACACAGAGGGTGACAAACCACAAGTGAGCTTATTAATCAAGAAACATATATTGTAATTTTCTTCATTAAATTGAAGGCAAGATATAGCATTGTTTCATTTATAGTATGAAAGATTTTTCTCAAAGTGATACTGAGGCTCCCATGGGAACACACAGTACAAGCTTCTGACTGAACTGAATGCTTTGTCATATTTCAAGTGGAAGTAGAGAAACGTGACAATGTGTTTTTATCATCTTCAATCTGAATTTCATTCAAAAAAGTTGGAATTGGTGGCAAGAATGTGGCTGTGTGGGTTTAAGGAAGAAAGAATCCCAAACTTCAAAGTGCCATCACTACGGTGCATATTATAGCTAAGAGTAAGAATGTAAAGACACAAGTAACACATCCAACCTTCCAATTATCGGGTGCAACTTTATTAATTACAAGCACGTGACTATCCCACTTTTCTTCAACTGCCACCAAAAGTTTCCGTGTGAAACTGCAAAGATGCAAGAAATTATCAGGTTATACCAGCATGTTCATAATCTGAAGAAAGTAGAAACTATAAGCTACATAAAGAGAGTCATATGATCAATAAGCTTACCGCAAAATAAGCTTGCTGTACACCAATTTTGGTGGAGCAGAGAGAACTTCAGCTTCTGAGAGAAAGAATAAATCAACGGATTGAATGGAGAAATCAGCTAATAGGAAAATGATAGAGATGAAAACATTCCACATCTTTTAATATGAGACAGAATTTTGCATTCAAACGTTTCGATTAAAACCATTTACCACAAGCGTAGCATAGTGATACTATCACTAAAATGCAACAACAATTTTATGTGAGTGTAGACTCCGGAGTTTGAATGCTCAACCAACCTCTGAGGAGATTGAGGAAGAAAAAAAGTTATTATTCCATCTCAAGGAGGAACTAGACCCCAATAGCATCGTTTGCATTGGGTTTGGGATATAGGTGGAGCCTGGTCCTATTCATCATGTCATTGTACTCAATATATGTGATTATTTATATGAAGAAATATAGCCTGTGTCGAAATATTGTTAATACACAATACTTCCATTGTCTTCAAAAGGTCATTCCCAAAGAGTTCTTTCATTGCAATTATTTCTTTTTGAGAGAAGTATTGAAAACACCCCTAAACTTGACACAAATTATTAGTTTCGTCCCTGTAACTGTTGACAGCTCTAAACGCACCCCTCTACTCAACTATTGGAACTTAAATACACACCTAATCTAGCTACATGAATGGAATACACCCCTACATACTCTCCAAGATTAGGGGTGTTTTCAACACTTCTCTTGCCTTTTCATTAAGAATCTCATGCTTCTACAAGAGTTTGAGATCATTTGCTATGTCATGTGGCAGATTGGGGGGGTGTATAAGTTCAGTTAGTCAAGTAAAGGGGTGTTTTTAAGGCTGTCAATAGACTTGAGAGGAAACTTATAGTTTTCGCCAAGTCTAGGGGTGTTGGAATACTTCTCTCTTTCTTTTTTAAAAACCATATACACGTATGGGGAACATTTACTATAGATGTCATTTTGGAGAAGAACAGTCTTATGTGGCTTCTTGCAAAACAGTTCCTGGAGAAGTATTTGAGAAGCCGTAATTAAGCAATCAGCCATGCTAGGAATTATTAGTGGGGATCAAAAAGTGTTTAGTAGATAAAAAGGACTCTCGAAAGCTTCCCCAAGTAGTAACTAATGCTTTATTAATTGGAAAGAGGTGCATAACATTCCTCTAAAACTTTAGGAATCAAAAGTAAACAAATAAGACAGCTTCAAGAAGTAAGAAGCGACAAAGCCTAAAAAACAAATAGCACAACCAAATCAAATACGTGTTACACCAACTATTGATGTAACTAATAGCTCGAAAGCGTCCTTGGCCCCAGGGAAACCAGTAGTTTTTTCCTCTTTAACATCATTTTTTTGGAGGGAAGATACTGACACCTCAGTTTCAGCTTGGGAAGGACAGCAAAATCAGAGACTACATCCTATTACTATTGTTGATATTTTTTTTTAAATCAAAATAAACCCATAGTATACCTTTTTATCCTATGACTACAAGTCACTTAACTCCACTAGTTTAGAAGATACATAGTTGCATCATAGAACCGACTCTACACATCCAATAGTTATTCAAGATGCCTAAACAGTTTAAAGAAGAACCACATAGTCCGCAATACAAAAAATAATAAAAAATCATCAACATTATTACTTAAAAAAGGAAGCACCAAAAAGATACTTCAGTGTCTAGTGTGAAGTTCCCCACAGAAAAATAGAACAGGAATATTCATCCATGAAATTCAAGTACAGGAAAAATTTCTTAAGCAACCAATGACAGGATACCCATCAACCCCAACTGGGAAAAGTACATTTATGGGTGGAAAGACTGAAGTGATGACTGAAACGAACATACACGTGAAGGCCATTAACTGATTTGTCTCTTAACGAAGGCAGGACTATCAATAACTACCAGAGAGCACAAAAATGGAGTTGGCGAATAATGCCAAAACAAAACATGGCAACAGAGTAAAGATGTTAAGCTTAAGTTAATGGCCTTCTAGTGAAAACTATAGTAAGCAACACGAACCTAACTTTATGCTTGCCTTTGTGTGTTAGAAAGTTTATCCAAGCCATATGTTCATGAAGAATTGAGGATCCAAAGATGCAAGACACATGTAAATACCTATTACAGAATCATTTTCATCAGCCTTGAGAAGTTCATCAGCTTCTTCAACCGTCTCAGTTTTCACAGGGGGGCCTCCAAAACTCATGTGATTGTACTTCATTAACCAATCTTTATCAAATTCATATCCCGGTTCTACGCTCCAAAATCAAATAATTATTAGCTTAAGATTGAAAATCAAACTGCAATTTCTTTAAAATTAGAAAAAGGAGCGAAATAGAACCAGTCATTACCTCTTCTAATGTTCAACTGTTTCTCAAAAAAGCGAACAGGGTCTGAGCCTTCCAAACATGCCGCATATATTGTCATCCTAAGTTAAGAATATGTATGGAACAGAATTATAATACACATTTGGTACATTTAACTTATAAATCAATTTACTTTAGCTATGGATATCACAAACTTGTCAATTCAATTCATAAACATAAGGAATCACCCTAAAGCATTACATTCGTACGGGTAAATCCTTAGTTCTAGTCTTCTCACCACCATAAAGAAAAAATATGTCCATCTACTTGGTAGGTTAAGGAAAAAGAAAAGGTAGTCTTGCAACCCTAATTACAAAATAATGTCAATATATCTGTAAAGAAAGGGTGAAAAGGACATACAGAGCGAGCTCTCGAGCGGCTCTAGGACTACAGAATCTGCCACTCTTGTCAATTTTGGGCTGCACAGAAAAAGTATCAACAGTTTCCTCGAAAGTAAGAGCTGAAGGTCGAAGCAGAGAGAATCTTTCAACGCTGTGGTTGGAAGAAAAGAGCAAAGGAGAACCCCTAGTGCATTTTGATAGAGAATTGAAGATAAACCTCACATGGGGTTTTAAGGTATAGGAAGATAAGAGCACATGTGAAAGAGAAAAGGAGGATGTAGAAGAAGAGCTGAGCACAGAAGCTGCCTCCATTTGCGGAAGTTTAAGTTTAATTCAATTACTCACTCTGCTCTTCAATTGGTTATGGATAATGGTGCATCCATTTACACACTGCACTCTCTCGCTTTGATATGAAGCAGCTGTATGGTGTTTTTCCTTTTTGCCCCTTTTCCCACTTCCACTATGTTACCTTAGGGCTCTCTAAAATCCAACCCAAAAAAATGTTATTGGTTCATCCATTTTACCAATGGCTTATTAGTTTAGTGGTTTTGGTAAAGATTTTGATTCTATGTTATTATCGGATTATAGGTTTGATTTCTTTTTTAATGGTTAATCGATAATTTTATAGTAAATTAAATAATTATATTTATATTATTTTATATATAAAGTCCTTGACTTAGAGTTTAATTTTTTATTTCTAACTGTCTCAAACTCTTGGTTATTTTACCATGTAAAAGTGTTTGTGCAATATGTGAACTCATGTGCATGGTTCATTTGGTTTGTCACATTAATTCTAAGTGATTTTCAATGATTTTTTATGTCAAATTTTAACGGTTAAATCGATAAGCGATAGACCAATAACTGATAAGTCAATGTCTTAATGGTTTTATAATGGTTAGCATATCTGCAAACCGATAGCTAATAAGTCAAATTGATAAACTTCAAAATTGAATCGAACAGACCAATACATAGCCCTACATTAGTGTTAGGCCATAAATTTCTAAATATTTTTGACAAGTCATTTTTTGTTGAAGTTTTTGATGATGTTTCGCCATGCATTTGGTCATAAATTTTCGGAAAATTATTTGACTTCTAAAGAAATATGATTTATATCCATAAGTTCTAAAAATCATTTAAAATACTCATAAGTTTGTATCATTGTCTTAAAAGACTCTATTGGGACTCGCCTCGAGGCTCACCTCATGGCGGAGCTCTAGCAAAATACCCCAAGACTCAATTTCTACCTTTCTAAAGTTTGATTTATGGGATTCATTTATGATCTGTAGGTCCAACTACAAGTCGAAAACATAGTTCGTAAAACTCAAGAAAATTTCAAGTTTCAAGAGTTGTTCTATGATCTAAATTTATGGGATGTAAAAGGGTTTACAATCCATACATTGGACTCCTAAAACACATACTAAAATCCATGTTTTTGAATTTTGATCTAAAAGGTGCTACTTATAAATCTCAATTTTGTTATAGACGAATCCCTAAACTTTTAAGGTATGTTTTGGACTTTTGAATTTATAGGTTGTGAAATGATGCTTACATGTACTCTCTAATGAGCACTTCCAGTAGTTGTGTTACCTCTCGAGATGTTGCTTAAGTCCAACTAACCAATTTCGCGGTCTTAAGAAAATTACAAACCATTGCTAGATAATAGAAGTGGGGCTCTTGCGACATCAAATCATGTTAGTACTCTTTGAATTGTCATTCTATTTCTAGGTACTTGTCACACCGCGAGCTCACACCCTGTACATGAATGGCACTCGAGAACCATTGTTGGTACCAAGTGAACCCTTGGTTTGGCTTACTTACTCAACGAAAGACTCTAAGCATTATTGTTATAACACCTCCAAAATGACTTAGGTGAAACTAGGGCCTAATGTGTGTGTACATGAAGTCTTGAAGTCCTAATATGGTTTAAAATTATGTTTGAGGCAGTGTCTCAAGATTTTGGTGAAGATAGAAGTCAAACGTCAAAGCACGACCAAGACGTTCGACGACCACTCACCTATGTGCCTTATATGCTTTCATGTTCTTATATATGATTAATGAGTTTATAAGGTCCTTATATGGTTGATAATAGTGTTTAGATTCAGCATGTTAAGTTTGGTAAAGTTTGGAGGTCAAACGTCCAAGAACGTTCGGTGACGTTTGAAAGATAGACTTTAGACGTCCTTGTGAGTTTTGATGTGTTTTAGCATGTTGCCTGACATTTTTTATGTTGAAATTGTTTGGAGATGTTCCTAATACCTAGAGGTACATGTTTAGAGGTTTAACTTCTGGGTATGACTCTACCTAGGACCCACAAGGGGCCTAGAAGGAGAACCCCAGCTTGGATCTCAACACTGTCATGCAGTGGCAATCGACTGCCCCAAACGATGGCCAGTCCACCAGACGACGGCCCGTCGATGGGTGGAATCGATGGAGCCATGTAGTTTGCAGGTTGAGCAGCTTCAGAAGCAACCAATGAACCCCATTGACGGGGCGTGGTCTCACCCATGGACCGTCGAATGATAGGGCATCGATGTTGCTGAAAAATCTGGCAGTTTTTTGTTAGGACTTGGGGTTTTAGGGGATATTCACCACAAGTCTTATAAAATTGGAGGACGTTTATTTTAGGTGTTTACAGGTATTTTAAGAGTATATAAGTCATCAAACACTCATTTAAACCCTAAAACCTATATCAAAACTCATTCCCTTCCAAAGTTTCTTCAAAAACCTCCATGAATGCTCAAGTTGAAGATAGAGCTTGAAGATGGATCTTCAATGGAGATTCTTCTTCAATTATCATTGGTTTATTTTAGTAAGGTATGAGAGTTCTTCATTTAAGTCTTGGTATCACCTTAGAGTCAATTTCAAAGATTTCAAAAAGATGAAAAAGTCAAATTTCTACTCTAAGTCTTGGGTTCTTGCATGAAACGTTTTCAAACATTAAGATATGATATTATTAATGTATAACTGATGTTTTCCAATAAAATTCTCCATGATCCCTTGACCTTCTCAAATCTCTCAATTTGACTAAAATATGTGTTATGTAATCATGCTTTGAATTAATGAATTCATGTGTAGATTGTTATGGTCATTTGATTTATGTATAGATTATGATTGTATGATTTATAGGTTGTTTCAATTTTATCAATTGAGTTTTGTATATTCTTAGATCCATTGAATATTAAGCTTATTGAATTGATATTGACTTAATATTTATGAATTCTAGTGTAGTTTTGTAAGGATTGTATTCAATTGATGTATAGGTTGTATTAGATTGATAAATCTATATTGAATTGACCTATATTCATTGAGTATTATGGTTATTGAATTGAATTGATGTTCATGGCCATGGGTAAGGGCCTATTGGTATGGAATTGGATGATTTAGCTTTGGATTAAAGTGGTGAGATTGAATGGGTAGTATGTTGCCCTAACTCTTTTAATATTATGTATAGCTTTTGTATTACAATGATGATTGGTATGATCCACTTATGGTGGAAGTGCTATGTGAATTGATGTGGCCTTGTCGGCGTTACTTTATGTATTATGATGATCATGGCCTTGTCGGCACTACTTGAAGTACTATGATGATTTGTGTAGTTGATTTATGTGAATTATGAGCATATATATCTACATTTGAAGTAATGTGAAAGTATGTGTTCCTTCTATGTTTATTAGGAGATCACTATGACTATGTGTTCATGTGTGTAGTCTTAGAGTTGATGCATGATTGTTCCTACTTGACTATATGAGTCTATGATGGTCATATTGATGATGTTAAAGTAATGTATAGGATGACATAAAGGTTAAAGGGGCAATCCTAAGGGCTTCAAAGGATGACATAAAGTAAAGAATGTTGTGTCTTGTTTTGGTAGACTTGTGTCCCTTACTTGATACATGTATGAATGATATGTTAATATGAGATGTCTTGACTAGGTAAGATTAGTTCACCCTTGTAATGTATGAATGAATGATATGTGAGACCTTAAATGATGTTATAAAGGTCATGTACGTGGAACTTTAAACCTAGTGGTAAGGTTACGAACTTTGAAGTTGAGAGTCGTAATGGTATCCTCCATGTAAAGGATGATGGACTTAGGGTTGATTGGCTGGAACGACATCATATCATTCTTAGAGAAGTCATAATGAGCTATCTATGTCACCATTGTAAGGTAGCCCTAGTAGACCTCTTTGGTAGGGTGAATGTGATTGGGTTATGAACTAGACATGGAACCCATTTGTATGAACCTTTAATGTAAATAACTCTATGAAAACAAAGGCTAGCACTGAGTGAGTATGTTACGGTAAGTAGCTCTACTTGTGAATGAGACTAGAGTACAATGTAGCTCTACTTGAGAATGAGACTAGAGTGCATAAAAGCCCGTCGTATTCCTTAACCATGTGCCTACATGGGATGTGTCCTAGTTCTACCCTTGGCAAGTAGAACACCCTCATCGGAGTAGGTTAGAACTCAAGATTCCACGTTTAGATATCATGGTCTATGTCAGTTATTGCCTATTTTCATCATCATGTGGGATGCCTACTAGCAACAAAGAAGTTCTATGAAGTTTAGGTGGTGGTATGGGACACTATCTAGACATTGCATAATAGGATTTGAAGGTGTTAGTTAGAGTCCCTAGGTCTTGTCCAAGACCATTACTTGAATGTACTTATGTGATGAATGAGTCTTAAATGAACTAATGAATGTAATGAATTAAGTTAAGAAAGCATGTTAAATGAATAAGTACTTATCTAAAGTAGTTAAGGGTTTTCTAGTTAAGGTGTGAAAGGGGCAAAAGAACGGTCACTTCATCTCTTACCTAGATAACTCTTAAGAATAACTCTAGTTAGGGAAGTTGGTTGACTATGTAAACATGATCCAAACTTAGGTAGTCTTAAGGATTACTTAGGTAATCTTGAAGAGGTCAATCATGGACGTTATCTTCTTGATTTACTTGAGTAAGTCTTTTGATAACCTTTGGAAGGAGAATGTCATAGTATATGTCTATTGTTGTATTAAGTGAGGATGATTCTATCTTAGGTATTCTATAGGATCTCTGAAGTGTGTAAGGGATTGTATGGGAAATCGCTTCATAACTCACTCAAGTGAACCTTAGAATCACTTTTGGTAGGAGGATCTCATGTTTATATGTTTGATGTGTTGTAAGTGTGTATATCTCATTATAGGTGGTCTTAAGGATCATTTAGGTGTGCCTAGAGAGGGTGTATGGGCGATCTCTCTTTGTCTTACTTAAGTGAGTCTTAGGATAGTTTTTAGTGAGAGGATTTCATGCTAGGAAGTGCTCTATGTGAAGTTGATAAGCTTCACTATAACAGTGAAGGAGTTCACTGTGACAGTGGACTTGCTTACTGTGAAGTTGTTCTAAAAATGTGATAAATTGCTTAAATGATTTCTTATGTGTTTCTAAGGTGTTAAATGTTGTTCTTATGATT